ACGGTTCTGACCACCACCGTAACTCCTTCACCGCCGGTTTCCTTCGCGATTTGAAACCAACCGAGACCTTCTCCTCTTGATTACAACGCCATGAGATCTATGTGACCTTTTCTCCCTTTGCTTCGTTCTCGTAACAGACCCACGACCTGTGCAATTCCGGCCAGCCTTGCACCCTCCGGCGATTCCTCTGCCGCCGTTCTCGTATGAAGCAAAAGCCCTAAAAGTTCTTCACCTTTTGATTCCCGACGAACCCATCAACAACATCATCGATTGAGCAACTTCCTTAAATGCGATTTCAGGGCGACTTCTCTACTTCTTCTGGTGATTGTCACTGTCTCCGTCGACCTCTCTTCTACAATAAAAGCTTGTGTCTCTCTTAGTCATGGCTCTCAACCGTAATAACCAGAGCCAACTCTTCATAGTGAATCTAGATGCAATTACTTGATCAAGGTAAGCATCTCTGGTGATCCTTACACTTTCTCGCTACTGCCTTTCTTGAACCAGAACACTCAAATTGATTTTCCCCTTCTACAGTAATCAAAATCTCAAGCAGAAATCCACAAACTTTGAAAACGAGGCAGTCCTCTTCCTTGGTTCTTCAACTGCCTTTTCATGTAACAATCCATTAATACATCCGAACTTAAAGATACAATCTTCAGCTCAATAACATCCTCTTGTCATGATGTTTTAGCTTAATCTCTCTTTCTTTATGTTCTTTATCTTCTGCATATCTTAATCTCTCAAACTCTTTAATTTCAGCTTAACCACACAAAATTAAGACTTCCCATCGCAACAACCAGAAGCAAGGTAACCATTCTTCGCTTTTCCTTGCTTTTATCTTTGTCAATTTTTCTTGTTTGCAAAATCTGATTTCTGCAACTCCTTTTCTTATGAGATTCCCAATCGACCCGGATCTCAACAAGTTCTTTCCGAAGCCCTAACCTGTCTTCTCTTAAACCTTTTTCCTCAACTGCTCCACCTCCAACTGACAACTCTCTGTCTCGCATTCACTCACTCACAAGTAACTATACTTACTCCTTCTCCTTTGAGCTTTCCATTATCACTGAAGTTATAACTAGAAACTGACTCGTTTCTTTTCTTTGTCTCTACGAGAATGAGACGTGGATAATGGAGTTACCTGGAGTGTCTACCTCCTTCAGATGGTGTCATGGAGATCACAGCAGATAAACTTCAAGCCAGGTGAAGCTCTTGTTTTAAATTCTGCTGGAATCTTGCTTAGGTGAACCTTAGGTGAAACCATAGTATTCTCATCATGTGAAAAACCAGTTGCAGCCATCATCATCTTCACACGTAGGTGATTGTGTGTCTTCTCTTGTAACTCATACCATCATCATCTTCACACGTAGGTGATTGTGTGTCTTCTCTTGTAACTTCATCTTCAACAAACACATAGTCTTCCTCTGAAGATTCTTCTGATGAAGAAGATGATGAACTTTTTGTGTCAAAACCATATGGAGTAGGCCCTTGAATTAGATTCTCAGAAAACGTCACCTTCTTTGTCTTCCTCTTTCTGATCACTTTCTCAACACCAGAACCAGTCACTTCAG